GATTTCACATCTACTCATTTTGTCAAAAATCTCATAAAACTGGTGCACTCTATCTGAAGGCTGTCAATGTGATTTTATACATGTATATCCAATAATCTTTTCTATGGAAGTGGCATGTTTTTACATCAGTTAGCACTCTCATCTAGTATTCCTTTATCCCATCAATCACCCATGTCCAAGTCAAAAATCATGTGAGACACTATGGGGACTCTCCATTCTGCCATGATGGAGTAGCCCTACTCCTCCCAGATCCTTCCGCTTACACTTAAAGAACAAACAAGTACAGGGAGTCTCTGAAAGGTAGAAAGAAAAGATTGGCTGCCCAAGGACCTTGAGACTTGAGGAATGCAGAGTGCTGAATTTCCTGGGCTTCCTTATAGCCTCTCATATATCCAAGACAATGTGCTACAGAAGCCTGCAAACTGGAACTGCCAACAGGAATAGACCATAAAAAGAAGCCTGCCTCCCCTTGCCAAAGTACCAGGAAGAGTGGCCTATACCCGTCTACTCTCTAACCAAGCACCAGTGGAAAAATCACACCCTCTTCCCACCATGGTTTCAGCAGGGCCCAGTGAGAGGGTGATCTTCCCACCCACCTCCTCTCAGAAGCAAGTTGAGTGCACTGATCTAACTGACATCTACAGAAAATTCCACCCAACAGCAGAATACACATTTTTTTTTCAAGCACCCATGGAACATTCACCAAGACAGACCATATCCTAGGTCATAAAACAAACCAACAAATCTGAAAGAACTGAAATTATACAGAGTATTTCTCTGATCATAGTGGAATCAAACTAGAAATCATTAACACTAAGATAATAGCAAAATCTCCAAACAACTGCAAATTAAACAATGCACTTCTAAATAATACATGGGTCAAAGAGGAAGTCTCAAAAGAAAAAACTACATAAAACTGAAGGAAAATGAAAATACAGGATATCAAAGTATGTGAGACACACACAGCTAAACCTGTGCTGAGAGAGAAATTTATAGTACTAAATGCTTAGAAGGTAGAAAGGTTTCAAATAAATAATCTAAGTTCCTATCTTTAAAAATGAAATAAAAAAAAAGCTAGTTCTTTGGAAAAAAATCAATAAAATTGAGAAATGATTAGCAAGACTGACAAAAAGAGAAGACACAAATGATTAAAATCAGGAATGAACAGGGAATAGCACCACTGTGAAAATTAGATTAATAAAGGGAAACATTTAAAATGGAGTTGGGAAATCCTCTAGGGGAGCTCTCACACACACACAGTCTGCCGCTTACTTTACAATTTGGGGCAGGAAATGCAACTACTTGACTGCTCCAGCAGGAAGGAAAATATTCTCCTTGCCCAGCAACATCCCAGTTGAGAAGCTGCTGCCACCATGAACTCCTTCTTTCCTCCAGCGAACTTTCATTTAGAACAGCCCTTCCCAACTCCTTCCCTTTCCTCTGTAAAAGCAAGCTCCCCTCCTCTGATCTCCGGATTTGCCTATGGTCCACCATAGCCTGCAATTCCTGAAGTGCAACTCCTCTGGCTATTCCCAAATAAACTCATTTTCTTGGTAAGATAACTGGCTATTTTATTTAAAGTTGACAGTACAGTGCTGCAGCCATTAAAAGGAGAACAAGGGAATGCTATGAACAACACTATGAAACAAGAACAAGATCTGTATGCTGAAAACTATAAAAGGCCAATAAAAGAAACAAAAAAAGACCTAAATAAATGAAAAACCATACAAAGTTCGTGGAATGGAAGATTCAACATAGTAAATATATCAATTCTCCCCAAATTGATCTATAGGTTTAATGCATTCGTATCAAAATCCCAGCAAGGTTTTTTTTTTTTTGGTAGAGACACAGACAATTTATATAGAAAGGTTCTAGGACCTAGAATAGATAAAACAACTTGAAAAATCAGAATAAAGGGGGAGGAATCACTCCACCTAATACTAAGGCCTAACATACAGCTTCAGTAACCAAGACAGTGTAGTATGGACAGAGGGAGAGACACACAGATCAGTGGAATAGAACAGAAAACCCAGAAAAATACCCACACAAACATGCCCAACTGAGTTTTGACAAAGGTGAAATACTGAACTATACATAAGCAAAAAAAATGAACCTCAACCTAAACCTCACTCTTTATAAAAAAAATTAATTCAAGGTGGATCATGGACTTAAATGTAAAATGTAAAACTATAAAACTTTCAGAAAAATAACAGAAAATCTTCAGGATCTAGGGCTAGGCAAAGAGTTTTTAGACTTGACAGCAAAAGCAAGATTCATAAAAGGAAAAATTGATAAATTAAACCTCATCAAAATTTAAAATTTTTGTTCTTCAAAAGACCCTGTTAAAGAAGTTGAAAAGACAAGATATGAGCTGGGTGAAAATATTTGCAAACCACAATTCTGACGAAGGACTTTTACCTAGAATGTATAAAGAACTCTCAAAACTCAACAGTAAAAAACGAATAGCCCAGGTAGAAAATAGGCAAAAGACATGAACGGACATTTCACTGAAGAGGATATACAAATGGCAAATAAGCACATGAAAAGATGTCCAACATCAGTAGCCATTAGAGAAATGCAAATCAAGACCATAAAAGAGACGTTACTACACACCTACCATAACAGCTAAAATAAAAAATAGTGACATCAAATGCTGTCAAGGATGCAGAGGAACTGGATCAGGGATATGTTTCTAGTGGGGATACAAAATAGTATAGCCGCTTGGGAAAAAAGAGTATGGCAGTGTCTTACAAAATTAAACATGTGCTTGCCATAATACTCAGCAATTGCACTCTTGAACATCTATCTCAGGCAAACGAAAATTCACGTTTACATAAAAGCCTGTACATGAATATTCGTAGCCAATTAATTTATAATAGCCAAAAACTGGAAACAATTTGGTTAACCAAATTGTGGTACATCCAAGCCATAGGACACTACTCAGCAATAAAAAGGAATAAGCTATTAATACACACAACTTGGAAGGATCTCTAGAGAATTATGTTAGGTGAAGAAATCCAAACTCTAGAGGTTAAGTACTATATGATTCCATTTATATAGCATTATTGAAATGACAAAACTATAGAGTGGGAATAGATTAGTGGTAGTCAGGGGCTAGGTAGGGGGGTAGGAGGAAGGTAGCTGTGGCTATAAAGAACAGCACAAGGGATCCTTGTGATGTGCTGTTCTGTACCTTCTGTGGTGGTGGGTCACCTGAAATTGCACAGAACTAAACACTCACACAAGCACAAGTTCAACTGGAGAAATCTGAGTAAGATCAGTGGATTGCATCAATATCGATATTCTGGTTGTGCTATATACTTATAGTTATGCAAAATTTCACCGTTGGGGGGAAATGGGTGAAGGGTATATGGTATCTCTCTGTATTATTTCTTACAAATGCATGTGAATCTACAATTATCTCAAAACAAGAAGCTTAACAAATGTAAAGGACTGGTATTCCTGACAAAAATGCATATAACCTGGATCTAATCATGAAGAGACATCAGACAAACTCAAACGCAAAACAACTGGCCTGTACTCTTCAAAAAACACCAACGTCATGAAACAGGTTAAAAGAGACACGATAACTGAATGCAACATACCATCTGATCAGATCAATTTGGGGTTTTCTTTGCTATAAAGAACATTATTAAGACAATCTTACAAAACACTTAGAAAAGCTCTATAGGTCAGATAATGGTATTGTATCATTGTTAACTTCCAGATTCTGATAATCATACTGTGGATGCGGAAGAGAATGTTCTTGCTTTTAGAAAATACACAATGAAGTATTTAAGGGTAAAGGGGCATCATATCTCAGACTTACTCTCAAATGGTTAAAAAAGTTTATACACAATCGAAAAGGAAGTATGGTAAAGTGTTAACAGTTGGAGAATCTGGGTAAGGGAATAGTTTATACTATTCTTGCAACTTTTCTGTAAGCCTGAAACTGTAAATATCAAAAATTATCATAATAAAACATTTTAAAGGCATACGGGATACTGCACAGAGCCTGGCACATAAATGTTCAATAAATTATAGTTTTCCGATTTTTATACCTATTTTCAGATGAGGAAACAAAATGAGAAGCTAAATAAACTGTCCAAGAGGGACCATGGCAAATCAGTGGTAAGGTCAGTGTATGAACTCAGATCTGTTCCATTACAAAGTCTGTGCTCCTTTCACTAAAATGAGGAAGGATAAAAATTGGCTTCAAACCACTCTCCAAGCAATTCACTTCTTAGTTTCCTACGAGAAAAGCCTAGGACTGGGACTGGGACCTAACACCTTGAACCCGGCTCCCAGGGTGGATATGTTGTCTACAGCACATCAAACAAACCAAGTAACAAACTGACAGAATCACCATCTGCAGGCCCTCCAGCAAAGGGCAGCACACTGTCTTGACTCATTCATCCAAACCACCGAGCACTTAGGCTGTGCTGCTCAACGCAATTTCTGAGATGACTATCTAGAGATCTCTCTTCCATTGGTCGTTCCCCACCTCACCATCATCCCACGGCTAAGCTTAGACAGGATAGATAATTCATTTTTAATTGATTTATTTTTTCTGAATAGATAATACATATTTCAAAATTCACATGGGAAAAAATTCACAGGGAACAAAAGAGTGTACAGTGAAAAGTCTCCTTCCCTTATCCTCCCAGCTCCCCTCACCACTGACGGCCAATGTTAGCAGTTTAAAAATGCAACTGTGTGATATTTCTTCAAATTACTAGAATTAGTTAGATCATATTATGATATTAAGCTAACCATCTACCTAGAATATTGCAAGTGATCACTATAAATTTAATAATTTCCCCATTTAGGCATTTAAAATACCCTTAAAATATTTGTATAGATGTTTTCAACATATTAAAATGAGTGAGGGCTACAACGTTTTTTTTAAATGAAGAAATATTTGTATCACGTCTCATCACAACAGAGGTCTATGAGTTACGGCCGGCAGGCATCAACCACTACAGAGCACCGCAGCTCACCTGGTTCCTGTCGCGTGCATTTGTGTACCTGATCTTCTGGATGAAGTAGAATATGAGCCATGCTGAAGAAATAATCATCAAAACAATAAAGGATATTGACACGAAGACTAGAGAGCCTCGGCTGAAGTTCTTTGGCGGCATTCGTGTTCCGACAGCTATTGTCATTTGTACAGAGATGTTTCTCTCCAGATAACTCAAAATATCCTTACCCCTCAACTCTGTAATCATGACAGCAATAATATCTCCAGTGCCTGGAATGTAAAATAAATATATACACTCAAGTGACATTTAAAATTTATAGAAACATCAAATATATAAAAATTCTACCTAGAAAAACCACTGCAATTTTTGCTAATGGCACAAGTCTGCAGCTTCAACTTTTCAAACGAAATGAAGCTGCGGTTGGGTATGCTGGCACCAGTGGGAACAGGAATTTGTTGTGTAGTACTTAAGATTTAAACAGACGTAAGGCGTAACGTGATTGCAGTGTTAACAGCCATCTTAACTTGTCTTACAATTATATTTAAAAAACAGATTATTAAATCAGCCAAATGTGACAACAGACAGTGCAAAACATTATATTATACAGCAACAGAAATGTAATAAAATCATAGCACGTTTTCATTGTAAAACTTTTTCCATCTTAAAACGCACTTTAGAAAGTCCCAACTCCTTAAGAAAAGGAGAAAAACACTGTTATTTCAAACCGGTTCTTTTTGCACTAATCATTCTTGGAAACATTTACAGAGCACCTACTGTGTGTAGAACTAGTACAAAGAACAGAAAGAAGTACAGGATACGCAGTTTTATAATATCACTGAGACTTAACGACACAAATCTGACAAGAGGTACAACAGCAAAATGCCAAGGGTGGTATCTTTTATTAATAACACTTGAAACCAACTTCGGTCCTATGTCTAGACCTGACTGGAGGAAGGTTCCTTTCTAGTTCACCCCAGAGCTCTTCTGGAAATCAAACTCTTACTGAAACAAGTCCAGGCTTCAACATTCTGGACTAGTTTGGCATCAAAGTACGTCCAGCTTCTAACAGCTGTCCAGAAATTCAGTCACAGCCACAAACTATGCAAGCTAATTGTAAGGATGTTCTTAAGCTGCTCTTCTAGTCATCTAGTTCTTTCACTTACATAATTTCCAGAAGCAGTAACACAATAAGGGCATGTGACTTGCTCTCTCTTATGATAACATGAAATCGCTATCCCTTTTCTCCTCCACAAAGGGAATAATTTACCCCTTTCTTTTAAGGAAAAAGAGAAGTCTTTCTACCATCAATCTAGCTGTCAGCGATTGTCCTTTCATAAGTGAAGCTGCCTGTGGCAACGTGCAACTGTTACAATCTGCCTTCTTCAAAGAGCCCCTAAGACTTGGGAGTCGGAGGAAGGAGAACGAACAGTTTATTTTGGGAGAGAAAATTGTAACTACTTATTCAAATTTTAATAAGGTTTGTGCATATAAATGTAAATCACCAAAACAAAATAAACACAACCCCCAAATGTGCCCTTTCAAAGGCTTCTTCAATGAACAATAACACTAAATATTTGGCTTCTATGTTTCATTTACCATATTTAACTAAAAGGACTATCCTTGTATCATGTGCAGTCAAAAGACCACATGGAACTGAAAAGAAATTCAGTAACTAAAAGGAGTTTTATGAAAAATTTAACCCAATGGAACACACGGCTTTGTATTACCTTATTCAAAATTGTGCCAGCCACTTTATCAGAAAAGCAGTTTATCAACATACTGACTAAAAATCCAAAAACAAAAAGAAAACTTCAAAATTAAAGCAAGCAACAAAGTTAACATCTAATTATCTTTCTGAAATGATAGTTCTGATCAGTAAATTAGAGAAAATCATAAATTAACGCTAAACCATTTTAAATTTCCATTTAGAAACCTTAGGTTTGGGCTTCTAACATGTTGTTCAACAGGCAATGATCTGTGGTATAAGATACCAGGCACGGCTATAAAGTAACTGAGACGGATCCCACAAGCGACACATGACAATCAGTCTCATTGCTTTATAACCACACCAGGTACAAGCAGTTTAGATCAGTTCCGAGGCTCCCTGAAGACTCAAGCTGAAAGAGGGGCAGGGAGAGCTGCACAGGCAGCCAAGGGAACCAATCCGCATAATGCCACTCACTGAAAGAGCACTGAATGAGCACCACCTAATTTCACTGGGAAAGCTGTTTGGGAAAAGAAACGTTTAATTATTTCAATCACCCATTCAATAATATTTATTGAGCACATACTATGATCAAGGCTCCTTAATGTTCACTTTTCAAAGAGAGCAGAAAATTACCTGCTGTGAACTAATAGAAAATATACATACTGGTCTCTGCCCCTGGTTGCTGGCATAAAGCTCCTAAAACTCTTGCAATTTTCTAAGTGATAAGAGCATTAGGAGCATCTTTTGTTCTAATATTTGGTCTTTGACACTGGTTCCTGACACACAACTCCTAAATCCCTTGGAATTTCCTGGGTGATGGGAGTGTCTTTTGTTCTACCAAGGAGACTTGGATGGATTCAGGATGGGGGCTGGTCACCAGAAAGACCAAGCCATGATGAGAAGCTTGGAACTTTTAGCCCCATCGCCCCATCCTATGGGGAGGAGAGAGGGACTGGAGACTGAATTAATCATCCATCATGCCTACATGATGAAGCCTCCATAAAAATCCCAAAAGTATGAGGTTTGGAGAGTTCCAGGTTGGTAAACACGTGGAAATGCTGGGAGGGTGGCATGCCACACGGCCCCTTCCCACATACCTTGCCCTACGTATCTCTTCATCTGGCTTTTCATCTGTATCCTCATAATAAGCCAGTAGATGTAAGTTAAGTGTTTCCCTGAGTTCTGTGAGCCATTTTAACACATTTTTGAACCTAAAGAGGGAGTTGTGGGAACGCTGATATATAGCTGAAGTGCAGGTGACAACCTGGGACTTGAGATTGGCTTCTGAAGTAGGAGTGGAGGGGAGTCTTTTGGGACTGAGCCCTTAACTTCTGGGATCAGATGCTAACTTCAGGTATAGCATCCAAATCGAAATGAATTATAGGACATCTAGCTGGTAATGCTGAGACCTGCTTGATACAGGGAAAACCCCACACACATTTGGTGACCAGAAGTGTCAGAGTGAAGTGTGTTGTGTGAGGAGTAAAAAAGACACACAGGAGTGTTTTTCCTTTACACCTGCTCTCCGTTACATGAAAACTGAATCTACGCTCAAAGGGCAAGTGAGAATCTTAAAGGGACTAGAGAGAGGAAAGCCAAACACAGGCAGTCTCATCATGCTAGTCCCAAAGAGGAGACGAGGAAGAATGACAGGAAAGGAGACCAAGACACTGCCAGTCAAGCAAGATGAAAAATAATGACAGCAGATCAGCAGAACACTAGCAAAGGCACTAGGTTCTTAACCATTTTAGATCATAAATCCCTTAGAGAATCTGATGAGAGGAGACCCTTCCTACAAGAAAAGCTCCTCCGCAATTCTGCTAATTTCAGGAGAGGTTCATGGACCCCCTTCACGTCCACTCCTAAAGCTGCTCTGGGCTCTCAGACCTTAATTCAAGGATGCTTCAGACTCTTGACTTACAGATTTGTGAAGCCTTGGCTCAGCTTCCAGGGACTATTAATGCCAGAGAAAATGTAAGCTCTGGGATAAAACTAGGGTTAGATCAGGTACTGACTGACAAGAGTGAGGAACTGACCACACGTAATGACGCAAACACTACAGGAGAGATGGCGCATATTTGGGACATCCACCACCACGCCCATCCTAAGCCCTGGGCAAACACTGCTCATAAGTCACGGCCATGGCCTCAGAACCCTATGCATCGCAACACGCCTGGCAGCCAGGACCAGCTTAACAGAGATGAACATGAAGGAAAAACTTAGCCGTGATCCCCACTTTCATCTGTTTTCTTGAAAACTTTCTCCACTATTACTCTTTAATGTCAATCAAACTCACTATTGAGTTGGGCTATTTTATTTTTTTTGTGAGGAGATCGGCCCTGAGCTAGCATCTGCCAATCCCCCTCTTTTTGCTGAGGAAGACTGGCCCTGAGCTAACATCCGTGCCTGTCTTCCTCCACTTTATATGGGACGCCGCCACAGCATGGCCCGCCAAGCAGTGCATCGGTGCGCACCCGGGATCCGAACCTGCGAACCCCGGGCCGCTGCAGCGGAGCCCGCGCTTAACCACTTGCGCCACCAGGCCGGCCCCCAAGTTGGGCTATTTTAATAAACAATTCTATTCTTTCTCCTTTTATTTTGAGAATTTGCAAACCCCACAAAATAGTTTCAATACTAAATGAACACTTGTGCACTTTTTATTTAGATTTGTCAACTAGTAACATTTTACCTTTTCTATGTATATATTATATGTGTATTTTTGCTGAACCAATTGAGAGTAAGTTGCAAACATCATGACATTTCCTCCTTAAATACTTCAGCATTATCTCCTAAGAACCAGGACACAATTCATTCACCACACTTAAGAAACTGAACTCTGATACAACACTGTTCTGTTATCCACAGTCCAAACTCAAACATCTTTGCCTGGTTCTAAGATGACTCTCAGAATTGTTTAGTGTAGTACCCAGGGCCCAATCAGGCCTGGGGCACGGTGTTTAGTTGTCTTGTCTTGTTAGTCTCCTCTGATCTAAAGCAGACCCTCAGTCACTTCTGGTTGTTCACAACCTTTTTGATGAACCCAGGCTGTATCTTTTGAAAACGTTCCTCAACCCGGATTTGTCTGTTTCCTCGTGATCAGATGTGCAAGGTCAACATGTCTGCAGGAATGCGACACAGGCAATGCTGTGTCCTTCCAACGCACAGGAAGCACACTTGGGCTTTACCTTTATTGGTGATGGCGAATTTGATCGCCTGGCTAATCTGGTACCTGCCAGATTTCTCCACTGTAAACGAACGCTTTTCTCTTTCTAACTAGTAAGCAATCTGAGGGTGATGCTTTCAGAGTAACCAGCCCCCAATGACCCAGCACTGCTGAAGCTTGCCTGAAGTCAGTTACTACAACAGTGTCTGCAAACGGTATCTTTCTTTCTTGTTTGTTTTTTGCTGAGGAAGACTGGCCCTGAGCTAACATCTGTTGCCAGTCTTCCTCCATTTTGTTTGTGGGTCACTGCCTCAGCACAGCTGATGAGTGGTATCAGTCCACCCAGGATCTGAACCTGGGAACCCAGGCCACTGAAGTGGAGCGCACCAAACTTAACC